TTGTTCTTCTTGTTCTTCTTGTTCTTCTTGTTCTTCTTGTTCTTCTTCTTCTTGTTCTTCTTCTTCTTGTTCTTCTTCTTCTTATTCGTCTTGTTCTTCTTCTTGTTCATCTTCTTGTTCTTGTTCTTGTTGTTGTTGTTGCGGTTCTTGTTCTTGTTCTGGTTGCTGCTGTTGTTGTTGCTGTTGTGTTTTTTCTTGTTCTTGTTGTTCTTTTTTTGTTGTTATTGTTCATGTTGTTATTGTTCTTGTTCTTCTTGTTCTTGTTCTTCTTCTTGTTCTTGTTGTTCTTGTTCTTGTTGTTTTTGTTCTTGTTGTTCTTGTTCTTGTTCTTGTTGTTTTTGTTCTTGCTGTTTTTGTTCTTGTTGTTCCTGTTGTTTTTGTTCTTGTTGTTCTTGTTCTTGTTGTTGTTACTGTTGTTGTTGTTCTTGTTGTGGTTGTTGTTGTTGTGGTTTTTGTTCTTGTTGTTCTTGTTCTTGTTGTTCTTGTTCTTGTTGTTATTGTTCTTGTTCTTCTTGTTCTTGTTCTTCTTGTTATTGTTATTCTTCTTGTTCTTCTTGTTGTTCTTGTTCTTGTTGTTTTTGTTCTTGTTGTTCTTGTTCTTTTTGTTGTTGTTGTTGCTGCTGCGGCTGCTGTTGTTGTTGTTGGCAACTAAAGCCAAAATGCAAGTGATGCAAACCATTTTTGGCTGCATAACTTGCACCTCGGGCTTATTTTGAGCTGTTTTGAAGGGGTGCCTGTTCTCTGAATTTCTGTGACGTTGCGTTTGCCTGAGTCCGTGCCGTTGAGGGAAGGGAAACATGATGACGTGTCGTCAAAAAGCGGGATGATTGGTACACGAAGACACGTTCGCCATGTGGCAGAGGTGGTGTGACGCAAATAAAGACATATTGAACAACGACAGCACTTGTATGCATGTGTTTCAACACTCCCGGGCCATTTGTTGTCTAGTCCTGGAATTCCTTGTGATCGCATGTGTAAATAATTGTGTATATATATGTGTATATATAAATATATGTTCTTCTTGGCTTAGGACTACCTTCTTTATTTTTGTCATTGTCGCAAGTGCGTCGCTTTTGAGTGCGACTTGTTTGGGAGCCTTGCCAGGAGACTTTCTACTAGAGGTCCAACTCTTGAAGAAAAAGGCAAATCAAAAAACTGTTTTTTTGCTTTTGTGTTTGTTACGTGCAGGGATGCTGTCACGAGACTGAGGGGTTTGCAGTCTGAAGCAAAAGGTTGGAATGACAACAACGAAGGAAAATGTCCAAGTGAATTTCGAAGAACAACATTATATTGAGTATGCGTAATATATATATATACATATGCACTTTTTGCTCAATCCATTCTATTCTTATTGAAGGGCAGTTTATGCCACAGTCATCTGCTGTCCTCAAGGTCTTCGTAAACTGAAGATCGTTTTGTTTATTTTCGTGTGTCAATTGGCCCTTGTCCTTTGACTGAAACCGCAAGGTGCATATACTGACATTGTTGTCAATGCGTTCATTCAAGTGCTGGGCTGAGCTACCCTCATGGCCACGCAGGTTTAACTGAGTGGTTGCTTTATTGGTTCAGAGTGGAACGAATCAAGTGCAGCGAAGAGCTGCATCTGCGCACTTGTATTGCAGCTAGAATCTAAAACTTGTGGCCTCCTTGCGTTTCCAACCTACAGCGTCATGCGTGCAATGGCTGATGCTGTGAGACGCAGTAGCCAGGCCAGTGCACCCGATGAGAACAATGCCAAATTTTGTGCGACAGTGCTATGAAATTCATTTGGAACGTTCGACAGAATTACTCTTTTTTGGGTACGCTAGCATGTGTCACATTAGATATAGAGTAGCCATGAGGAATGGCTCGCAACGTAACAAAAGTCCTTTTGGTAGAACTGTCAAGACAAAGTCAGGTGCCATTATGGAGATCTTCATTGTAAACATATTTTTCAGTATGGTTACTAGGATTACATGAAACCAGCCAAGCACCGAGGCATATCTTACGGACAGCCCCAGTTGGTTGGACAAGATTTTGTTTGATTTGCCCTTTTTTACTTGTTAATGTTTGTGTTACGGTGTTACAGAACAATTCGGTGCGAGAAGAACCATTTTGCTAGGGGCGCTCCAATCGAGATGCTGGTCCTCCGGATGCGTCTCGCCGTGGTGGTAGCTCCAGTGCTTCGGCAACTCCATCAGAGGCAACTAGACCTGGGAGTGGGTGGCTCGAGGTAGAAATTGATTTGTGCTACGGCGACAAAGTGTTTTGTCCCGATGAAGGTCTGTTGCAGTTCTTACGGGTTCGCAAAGTGGGCTGAACCTTTTTACGCTTTCTTTGGGCACCTGCTATAATGTTCCCTTGAAAGCAGAATCAAATATTTTCGCTCAATGCATAAGCACACAATGGGGTGTATGCTTTGGAGGAGGTTTCAATGTGACTCTGTGTTTTTTTCCCCTGGACTTCTTATTCTATATACTGCTGGCCATTTTCTTTCAGCACTGTTTTGGAACAAAAACACCTGGCATGAAACGTAACAACAAACACAGGAACATTGTCCATATCTTCGAGGCCCTTGTAAAACTTATATATAGTGTTTGGACATATAATTTCCGGTACATATTAGGTACATGTTTTCAGTTTTCAGAGAATGGCTCCATCAATTTCCACAGGAAAGTGGGAAGGCGCACAAACCTAACCACAAACCCATATTTCCGAACAAGGGGTTCAACATTTGGTGGATTGCATTGAACTGCATTGCTCGTGGCGACTTGAGAGTCACAGGGGAATAACGAGCTGTGTGAGATGCGGCATGCCAACTTGATCCCTGAGCAGGCACAGCGAAGAAACCTTGCTGGCGCACGCTCGGCACCAGCTCTAGCGGCCCGCGACCAAACCATAGTGTCGTGTAGTTGACTAAAGGTCTTTTGCCTGAGAAACTCGAAGCTTTCATCAAGTGGTTTCATCTATGAGACAGAAGGAAAGCAGTTGTGGTTTTGGTTTGCAAAAGGCGGCTTGGAATTTCGCTAGGCAGCCGTGAAAGCTGAGCCAAAACCCAAATCAAAAGCAAAAGTCACAGAGAAGGCGTCTACTGGAGCTTTCGATTTTAAGTCATTTTAGTGGATCAATGAACCACTCTTTAGATACAGTAATTTTTTGTTTACACTCTTTTGGGTTTGAAAACGGCTTGATTACCCTTGGAAAGTCTTGTGCAAGAGGCAGAATTGTATAACCTGATCGATGAATCATAGAGTCATAGAGCAGTCAAACGCATATTGTTTTCTCTTGGATCCTTTGTGAGGCAAAGGCGAGGCCTCCATCATTTGATGAGGAACTGCTTCTTGGTAAGGTTTTGCCTCGTGAAATGATTCCCGCTTTGTTGATGTAGCCACAAGTGGTGTTAAAACATACCAAAACGACACATTTCAGTCCAACAGAACATCAGCCGTTGAGTCTGACGCCTCAAATGTTTCTCCATGGCCAGAGATTCCATGCTCAGGCTTCCAATTCCACACGGTTTGCTGTGCGTGATTTGTCGAGAGATCTTCAAGGAGCCAGTTGGGATTTCAATTGGTCCAAGATGTCATGAATCAGATTAATGTGAAGGATGTTTTGCACTAGCGTTATTGTTGTGTCACCTCAGAACATTTGGTCCAGCCTTTGCTGGCCTTGGCTGCCGCAACTTCTGCGGAGCTTGGGATTCAGGATCACCGCCTCGACAATCTTGCCATGTGTAGATACGTTGTGTACATGGCAAGTGCATTTGGTGAGTGGTGTGTCCATGCTGCTGATTGGATGGGCTCGTGATGAACTTTTTGCAGCTGGAGTCTCCTGCCCCGCCGAGCACATAGCCGCCGGCATCAACCTGGCTGTCCCCTGCGTACCCTGTCCAGAGGATGCCCCAGCACTCAAGTAAGAAGTATCTAGCTGCATGATTGAAGGTACCCCAAATGGTGGAAAAGGTCCGCCGCAAGAGCGCCAAGCCAGCGCCAGATGGCATTGGCAAAACACAAGTTCTGAGGATTGATCCAGGTGCGAGGACTTCGGAGAGGATGTATGCACAAATTGTTCATAGGGTTTTGTGGCGCAAGAGGTGGAGTTTGGGTATACGTGGCTTCTTGGCTTGTCTCGCCAGTCTGTGAGGTCTCTGCGTTGCCTGCCTTTGTGTCTGTCGAAATTGTCACATCATTGAGTCGGCTTAAAGTGCCATAGCCGCGGTCTTCGCGTGGAGCCGCGCTCAGGTGGAAGAACTGGGCACTGGCGCCTTGCCTGGCTCATCAACCTGCATGTTCTCCAAAGATCCATGTTCACTGGGCAAGTTTGTCCTGCCAATCCTAAAAACCTTGAGTGAGCTGGTTTGATGGGAGTGAAGTCATGCTCATCAGAGATGAACAGATTGCTTCCTTTCAATCCTAAGAATCCATATGGAGTTGGCTCAGTGTCACAAATCTTCCGCTGATGCGTGCTTCCACATTGTTCCTGGAGCAAGCTCTGAGGAAGCTCTGAAGTGGCTCTTTTTGCTCTTCTGACAGAGTGACTGCAAGGCATCTCGGCATCCCGAAGGGCTTCCAGCTGCGCCGTGTCACTGGCCATCTTGATGCAGGCTACTGGTTTTTTGAAGGTTTTGGCTCTGCTGATTTCTTGAATGCCTTTCATTACTTCCAACATCTCCTGGTAGGCCATCTTCGTGGGATCGATTTGTAGGTGGAGACGTTTGCCCACGGATTGCCACAGGCCCCGCGTTTGGAGGCATAGCCAGTTGCTGCAATTGGAGACCTTGGCAGAGCAGTAACCCCTCGTTATCAATAAGTGCTGTGAGAGCCCTTGTGGATCCCCAATTTAAAGTGTATTGGATCGCGAGCAAAGCCCCTCACCCAGGTCCTTGTCTGTGAGGTAGAAATACTCTTCTCAAGGATCTCCTCGATTACCAAGCAAAGGTCCAGCGCCCAGGTTCCCCACCAGCACCGGAACCATGTTGGAGAAGAATCTTTGCTGCCAGCCAGCTTGAAATAAATAAATATATATATATATATGATATATAACATGTACGGGCACAGCTATATGTAGGCATATTGATAGCAACTGTAGCAACTCCTAGGACAAAAACATCCCTCCGGGTGAAACTGAACGCGTAGTTGTGTGCATTTTTGAACATGAGGATGTCACCCAAACCACAAAACCCCTGTAAAACCCTACATGTTTTATGTCAGTGGGTGCGATCAATGCACGAAGCCTGACTGTGTTCCCTATAAAACCTTATGTCTTGTGGTAGAATTGCAATGTTTTTCTTAATTCGGGGTCTCGTTTCGTGACTCGTTTTTTCGGAAAAGTTTACAAACACCCATAGGAACGGCGCGGAACAACTCGCACTCTTTTTTCCCGCGTCTTCACATGTCCTGAGACAGTTCTTTGGCACAAAGTGCCATCAGGTTGTTGTTACCTGTGTTGTTGTTTCATGTCGGAACCTGTTTTCTGGTCCCCTTTTACGCCGTTGCTTCAATGATTCTTCTGTTATGATATGCTTACGCAATGCTCATGTTACATGCCAATAAAATCTGGCTCAAGGTACATTCGTGTGTAAAAAGCCGCTCATTCGCCTTCGCTCACTCGCTCTTGTGCACACTGTCAGGGTCTAAGCTAGATCCAGGGTAGATTCACTCAAGTTCACTTGCTGCGTTGCCACTGCGGGGGATTTGACCCTCATCCGCCCCCAAGCCCTTCCCGGAACCTCCTGTAGAATCTTCTGTCGTCACATCAACAACTCATCACCATTTTGTTCTACTGACCACAAACCACCCCCCCCCACCCTTCCGTAGAACCGTCTGTTTTCACATCACCAACGAATCTCTTGTCGTCACATCAACCCATCACCATCGTGTAATCTTCTGTCATCACATCGACAACTCATCATCACGGCCTCTACACAACAGTGACAACCATGGCCACCGGGTCGGAAAATTTCAGCTTTGTGTCAGCACGACTACACGTTCGGTTTGCGACCCGATGGCCAAAACATGTTCGTTGCTGGGCAGAGCAATTGGTTGGCGGTGCTTCTTGTAGGAGCCGGTCTTTACCAATGACGGACACACCTACTGTCGCAGCTGCATTCAAGAATGGTTCAAGGCTCATGACGCAAGGCAGGTGTGCCTGTTGTCGTTGAATCTTGGCCAGCTGTGCAGTGCAACATCAATCTTTTTTGTGGGCTTTGCTTTAGAGTTGGTTCTGCAGGATCGCAGATTTCTACAAAGATCCTGCAAACATTGCTCCTTACAGCAGGCAGCGGGGACAAAATTCGATTGGCAACATAAGCATGCCAGAGTTGACACATGCCACTGCTTGATCAAAATTAAGCCTTGGTTGCATGCCAAAGGAAGTCATCCTGGCCTTTACAGGTGAAATTAAAAAATGCAGTTAGTTTTTTGGTGGACAGAATTTATTGGACGGGTCAAAGGTTGTCACCGTCCTTTTTTGGCAGCAGCTGGCAAGAACGTTCGGTGCTGCCAACCAAGATCAACATAGCAGGAACGATATATATTATTTCTTGTGCATATTTTGTGCTAGTGGTTTTCTTGGGTTGAAACGGTTGACCTCAATAATTTCTAGCACAAAAACATTGTCTAAACATGTTAAAACATTCTTTGGTGGTCCAAAATAATCCGTATTTCAGGACAAATTGGAGCCAGATGTGCAACACACCAAACAACACTGTTGTTCTTTCAAACGACTTAAAAAATTGACACGAGTCACGAGTCTCCTCTTTTTGACCAGTTTCCTTTGTAATTGGCAATTGCAACTTGCGTGAGACGAATCACATCTCCAGGAAGGTGCCACCGAACCTCCTGGCACCTATGACCCAGCTTCCATTGCACAACAGAAACTTGCAGCCCAACATTGCACTGAAGCAGGCGGAATTACGACTCACGAGAGAGTTGAACTGAACTGAACTTTGCCAAGCTTCCAAGCTGTTCATTTGCATGTAGTATTCAAGTGAGAAGAAGTTGTGCTGCAAGTCAAATGGGTAACATTATTATATAGTCATGCCGCAAGCCCAAGGGTACATTGTTCAATCCATTGTGTCAAATTCCTATCAGCAAAGTAGAGCTGTTCGTTCTATTTTAAAACTTTTAGTGAGAACACATGAAAACAGGAAAATCTGATCCTTTGTCTTTGAACAGGAAGACTCCAAGGAACTATGGTGACTTGCCAGGCTGTGGAAGCTTTCTGCGAAACGCGACCTGGCGACGAGCGGAGGGAGCGAGAGCGTCAGAAGCTTCAGAAAGCAGTGCAGGCCCTGTGATTTGTTCAGTGATTCGTACTGTGAATTGCTTGATAGTGTGCATGGCCCGAGTCACTACCGGTGTTATTGTCGCATGGGGTGTTGGGGTCTGGGTCGTTGGGGGGTTGGGCGGTTGAGTGGATGCGAGTGGTGGGTCTGTTTATCCATCGATTATTTGATTTGATGAGATAAGCTACTGTGCCTTAACCTTTGCATATGGAACAAAGTCCTGTTCCGCAACTCTTCATTCTTCTGAAACTTTTCTTCCGCAACTATTTGGTACTCTTCCGCAACTACTCTTCAGAGACTATTCTTCAGAAACCTATTTCGCGATCTTCAAAGACTATTTTGCGATCTTAAGAAACTATTTCCCGATCTTCATAAAGTTTCTGTGCTTCAGAAAGTATTCTTCAGATGCATCCAGATTGCATGAATGGAGCACGGGGGGTGGGCGGTTGGGGGGTTGGGTGGGCTTATTGACGTACCCTGTGACGGCTACGGTACATGCTTATTAGCATTCTCCAGAAAACATTGCGTGCACTTCAGGAAGTATTTTGCATGCTGCGGAAAGTGTTCTTCCGAAGGAAACCGTTAAAGCCGTCGAGTTTCCGAAGAATAGTTTCCGAAGACAACCTTTTAGTTGCCGAAGGTTAGTTTCCGAAGAACAGTTTCCGAAGAACACCGTTTAGTTTCCGAAGATTAGTTTCCGAAGAAAAACATAAAGTTTCCTTAGATCACCTTTTGGTTTCCGAATAGAACTTTGACCATATGGAAGTATTTGCTGTAATTTTTCTTTGTCCACTGTTTGTGTGTGACGTCTAATACGCAGAACATCATGTCGTTTCTTAGTTGCTTCTTACTTTGGAGCCAGGAGGCTCAGGCAACCGAGGGTGCGTTGAAGTCGACCTACACCAAGGCTCGAAGTCGTGCGCAAGGCTTCAAGCTTGAGAGAGAGAGAGAGAAGTATCAAAAGGGCCCACCCCACACGGCAGGAATGTTCGATTTGAAAGCCCATGGTGCACAGCCTCAATTCGACTCAATTCGTTTTCCTTACGATTCCGAGGAGGTCCGCGTATTGCAAGGACAAGTGCAGAATCTCGAGGATGGGAGTCGGTGGATGGACAGATACCTTCTCAACTCTCTACTTATACAACATATTTGAATGCATTTTGGCAAAGGAGTGACTCGTTTACCTTCCTTTTCCAAGACTTTGCGCATGTTCATAGTTTGACCAGGTTTATTCTACGTTTTTAGGTTGAGGACACGTATTTTGCATTGGCTGCATTAGTGAGACCGTTTGCCACAGGAGGAGCTCGGACAGGTCAAGAATGACTTGGAGGCTGCCAAGGACCTCCTTCTGCAGATTACTGACTTGCGGTTCCATTTACTGTATGTTGTGGAACATCAAGCTTCAAAGTCAAGTTGAGTCGTCGACTTTCTAGTTGCTGTCAGCAGAGTAGGGTTCATGATCGTGGCAGGAGGAAACACATAAGCTGAACCAAATGACAGCAGCAAAAGAGGGCAACTTGGGCAGAGAAAGTGGAAGGGAGAATCCCTGAGTCCCGCCTTGAAGCTCAATCATGCCGACGCCACCCACTTTTTGTTACTGTATATACTTTTTTGTTCAAGAATACCTACACCATGCACATTACCAACATATGCAAACCCTTCCAAGTCAAAGCTTTAGGTTTTAGGTTTCAACATCCGGTTTGTTCCAGGTTTCCACAATCCCTTCCTCGAGTTGGAGCTCGAAGAGCTGGATCGAGAACTTCCTGTCTATAGCACCGTGACAAAAAAGAGGGAAGACTTTTCTATTGTAGAGGAGGAAGAAGAAGGAGAAGAAGAGGAAGAAGAAGAAGAAGAATACGACAACAGGATATGTTTTCTGATTTGTTCCCGAATGCGTAGCGAAGGGTTCCCGTTTATAGTTGGGGGTCTGGGGGTTGGAGCTGTGTTTGCATGGCTTGCGTCGTGTCGTCGTCTGTCGTCGTTTGTCGTCGTCGTCGCGTCTCAAATTCGAGGCCATTGGGGGAAGCTTTTGCAAGGGACTTTTCATGGATGTGTCACGTGTCAGTTTGCGCCGGTATTACATTGTGATTTGCATGAGAATGACATGTCGCGCAAGAAACGTGATGCATTTCGCTGCACAGGCGCAGTGCTTTGTGAGATGCGCAGTTCCATTGGGATTAGCGTTTGGAGAGTCGTGTTTTTGGGGTGTTGGATGTGGCCGTGCCATTGGGATTTGCGTTTCAGGGTGTGGCATCGAAGCTCGGTTTTCGTGACAAGTCTCAGCTGAAATGGCGATTTTGGTGGATGGGAGTGTGCTCAGAACGGGTCGAAATCATTCCAAACGTGTGTTGTGGTGCAAATTTTGTTGAAGCTCACATGAGATGATATTGTCACTTTTCGTGGCAGGCGCAGGACCTTGTGCGTGTTTTGAGGCGTGGAAGTGCGATTCTCGTGGCAGGCGCAGGGAATCGTGAGGTTGCGAGGTGTGACGGAGGTGACATTTCGTGGCAGGCGCAGTACTTTGTGCGTGTTAGACGTGTGGACGCGGAAAGATTCGTGGCAGGCGCGGGGAATCGTCAGGTTGTGAGTTGTGGTAGAGGTGAATGTCGCTGTCACATTGGGATTGGCGTGTGCGCGGATGTTGTTTGGAGGGGCTGGAATCGCGAAACTGCTTGGCAGGGCTGCGTGATGTGTGTGCTCCGAAGTCTCGTACGAAACGCTCGTTTTGCAGACTTTGACTTTGACGTGTGAGTTTTTGAGGAAGTCTCGTACGAAAAGCCCGTTTTGGAGACTTGACGGGCAACCCTCTGCGGAGATCGCGCGAGTGTGCGAAATGCAGGCGAGAGCGCGATATGTCCCATGCGCGCGCAACCCTCTGCGGAGATCGTGCGTGTCGAGTGCGCGAAGTGCAGGCGAGAGTGCGATTTGTCCCATGCGCGCGCGTATCTGGGGAGCTGGAAGATGAGAACTGGCGACTTGCTAGTACAACTTTAGTACGCGGAGCAATCTGTGGAGCTGGAAGCTGAGAACTGGCGACTTTGTAGTACAACTAGGCTCATCTAGCTTGAGCCGGGTGTCTTCCAAATAGCAAGTGGGTGTTTGATTTGGAATAGAACCTTGTTGTCAAGTTTCTTGCTGGCTCCGTTAAAAGCATGTAACACAGCCATGTAGTTTATTTGGTCCTGCTTGGGAGCAAAGAGCTCTAAGAATGAGGCAACATCCACATGCGCCTGATACACTCAAGACTGACCTATATATACAGTCATGGAACTTCAAGAATTTAGATTTCTTCGTAGTGGGCAGCCATGCCAGCGTGGAGATATGATGATGATGGAGACGTTACGTGTGAAGAGTCTGCAGAGACCATCTCCTTCCTCACAACCACGAACATAATCCACCGCTTCCGGCGCCACAGCCAAGCACCACTATTTCAAAAGTTTTGCGCCGCATTTTGATAGAGCTTTCGCTTCAAGATTTTTAAAGCACTTGGATGGAGAACGTGGACCTGTTGGAGCTGCAAAACGGAAGGCTTGACTTTGACCGGGACGTTGCAACTTCAATAGGTCCAACTCGTACTTCACACTATTTGCCAGACCTTTCTCGACCCTCTGCGGAGTCATGTGTTGATGTAGGTCTGTGCGGCCCCGAGGATTGCCTGAGCCAGCTGGAAGCACCAACCACTGCGCTTATATGCCGATTGCTCAATATGCCCAGCTTGGACGTGAAACTTTTTCGGTTTGACATTTACCTTGTATTGGTGCTCAGGAGCGGAGGCTCAACGATCTTGGATTGGAAGATTATAATTGGAGCAGTCGGATGCAAACACCTGAAGCTTGTAGGTGCAATGTGCGCCCGAAGCTTCAGTGCCTTGCGCCCGGCCAAGCTCGATCAGGAATGAATGAGTTGGAGACGGAAAACCCGTCACAATTTTGCCAGAAATTGATTTGGCCGGGAAAACCCGTCACGTTTCAGACCGGGCCCCAGCCCCAAAATGTGATGGGTTTTTTGAAAAACCCATCGCAATTAAATAAGGAAAACGAAAACCTGTCAAACTTTCCAGCTCATCCCCAACTTCAAAAAGTGATGGGTTTTTCCAAAACCTATGGAATTGTGATGGGTTTTTAAAAAAACCCATCGCTTTTCTGGGGCCAGCCGAGCTTCCAGATTGATGGGTTTTCTGAGCAAAACCAATCAGCCAAATGGATTTGGCCACCAAAAATGTGATGGGTTTTTAAAAAAAAACCCGTCGCAATTTGACCAGCCAAATCCATTTGGCCGGGAAAACCCGTCACAATTTGACTAGCCAAATCCATTTGGCCAGGAAAACCCGTCAAAATATAGCCAGCCAAATCTTTTTGGCCAGGAAAACCTGAACAAAGTCGGATTCAGAAACTGCACTGTATTCAGAAACTAGTCTTCAGAAACTATTTCGTTGTATTCAGAAACTATTTCGTTGTATTCAGAAACTCTTGTATTCAGAAACTATTTCGTCGTATTCAGAAACTCTTTTCGTCGTATTCAGAAACTATTTCGTCGTATTCAGAAACTATTTCGTCGTATTCAGAAACTATTT